CCTGTGTTGCCCAGGTGAGGTAAAAGGCCCACTCTCTCAAGTGCTGCACTTGGTAAGGGGTGGGTCCGTTCTCTTGCCTGCTATAGGTGGCTAGGGGCAAGGGGCAGGGAGGGTATCTTTCCCTTGCCCTTGCCACCACATGGCAGATGAGGTGGGCTGGGCCAGCTATCCCACTCTCAGGCCCTCCGGGCAGGCTCACCTACACCCTTGCCAATAGGATCAGCTTACTGTGCTGCCCAGGCGAGGTGTGCTGGGCCTGCTCTCCCGAGTGCTGCAGCCATTGAAGGGCAGGGCCAGCTCTTTCACTCTTATGACCCAGGGGCTGCTCTCCTGCCTGCCACAGGTGGTGAGGGGCAGGGGGTGGTGGAAGGCACCTCCACTTCACTCACACTGCCATATGGCAGATGAGGGGTGGAGCAGGATTCCCCGAGCGCACATTCTCTGGGCCAACTCACCAGTGCCCGTATCAACAGGGTCAGCTCAACTGTGCTGCCTAGGTAAGGAGCAAGGCCTGCTCTCCTTAGTTCTACAGTTGATAAGGGACTGGGTCAGGTAGCAAGGGGTGAGGAGGGCATCTTTTCCTCACCCATGCCACACAGCATGGCAGACGAGAGGAGCGGAACCAGTTCTCCAACTCTCACACCCTCAGGGCCAGCTGGCCCTCGCACCCACCAACAGGGTCAGCTATGTCTTGCTGCCCAGGTGAGATGCAGGACCTGCTCTCTTGAGTTCCCCTGTGAAGGGCAGGGCCTTTTCTCCCTAGTGTTGCAGCCAGGGAGGGATGGGCCAACTCTGTGTAACCCTATCCTCTCAGCTAACAGGAGCCACGGACATCAACACAGACCACGGCTGCAGCAGGGCACAGGTACTGCCAAGGCCCTTGGCAGCAGCCCAGGCTTGGACGTCACCATGGCCCTTCATGGCAAGCAGGTCACCCACATCAGCCCACTTCTCGCCGCCTTCACCTCTTCGGATCTGCGTCTCCCCACAGCACATGAACCATTCTGCCTCTCTCGCGCATTCATACCCCCATCCTGTATTTGCTCACAATAATAGAGCCCGACCACCCTTGTTGTCACCTCCTGGCCCAGGGTGGAGAGCCCCAGGCCAGTATGTGGATCTTTGTCTCTCGTTCAATCTCAAAGGCACTGGCAGGCTCCTGTTGTCTGCCCCAAGCCCATCCCTAAAACTTGCTATTTAGGCAGTTCTGTGTAAAACCTTGCCTGGACCTATTTATCACGACATAAGCATTTTGTTATTTTTAAAGTCTATTTTGGATCACCAGAAGTGTTCCCTAAATTTGTAAAAGGTCTAATGTTTTGATATGTTTTTGAAGTTTATACACACATATGTGTGTATGTTTTTGAGTGTGTATATACATGTATATCTATATACATATATACATACATACACACATCATATATATATATATATATATATATATATATATATATATATATATATATAGCTAGTCTTATGTGAACTTGACAAATAAACTAGAGTTAAAGGAAGGAACCTCAATTGAGAAGATGCCTTCATAAGATCCAGCTGTAAGGTGTTTTCTTAATTAGTAATTGATGGGGGAGGTCCCAGTCCATTGTCAGTGGTCCATCCCTGGGCTGATGGTACTGAGTTCCATAAGAAAGCAGGCCAGCCAGGCGGTGGTGGCGCATGCCTTTAATCCCAGCACTCGGGAGGCAGAGGCAGGTGGATCTCTGTGAGTTCGAGGCCAGCCTGGGCTACCGAGTGAGTTCCAGAACAGCCAAGACTGTTCACAGAGAAACCCTGTCTTGAAAAACCAAAAAAAAAAAAAAAAAAGCAGGCTGAGCAAGCCATGGAAAGCAAGCCATTAAATAGCGCCCTTCCATGGCCTCTGCTTCAGATCCTGCCTCCAGGTTCCTGCCCCGTTGGAATTTCTGTTCTGACTTCCTTCGATGATGAACAACAATATGGAAGTGTAAGCTGAATAAACCCTTTCATTCCACGTTGCTTTTTGGTCATGGTGTTTCATTGCAGCAATAGAAACCCTAAGACATTCATGTATAGCTTTTTTTGAAATAGCTGTGATGTTAATTGTTGCCAGCTCTTTTTAGTTTAATATATTTACATTCTTCAAGTAGAAAGACTTTTAGAATGCAGAGATTAGGAGAACATCTTGCCAAGCTGGTGTCCTCCAAAACAGAATTGCTAATGACCCTAACGTTTTCCAGGCTTGTGTTTGTGTGCTCCTAACTGTATTGTGACTTTCAGTTTTAAGTGAAGGCCACTAGACATGCCTTAATGTGAATCCCAAGGAACATCTCTCTAATGAAAAAGTATTGACACTAGTAACCTAAGAAGCACCTCTATATAACAATATGTTCTACTTTGTTTAGAAATATTTTTATTTATACTTAAAAGACAAAATTAAGCAGGAGATTTTTTTTTACATTGAAACAAAACTTAAAATGTATTTCTGAGTAAAAATTAAGACAGCTTGCCGGGCAGTGGTGGCGCACGCCTTTAATCCCAGCACTCGGGAGGCAGAGCCAGGCGGATCTCTGTGAGTTCGAGGCCAGCCTGGGCTACCAAGTGAGTTCCAGGAAAGGCGCAAAGCTACACAGAGAAACCCTGTCTCGAAAAACCAAAAAAAAAAAAAAAAAAATTAAGACAGCTTGATCATCCTGATACAAAGCTGTCAATCAAAATGATTATTCTGAAATGCTGTATACTAGTGGAAGCAACTAGAGTGTTTGGACCATTACTCAGCTTTCCACAGTATCCTAACCACAGCTCTTTAAATCTTTTGTCACCCACAGTTTTGGTTCTTTTCTAAAGAATTTATAGTCAAATTCATGAAAATTGACCTAATAAGCAGCTTTTTTTTTCTTGTTAAGTGTGTTTTGTATTTTCCTTACAAAACTTTGTAACTGTTTTCTATTAGTATCTATAGAAATATGAGTTCTAAAAAAATTACCTGAGCAGTGTTCTTTTTAAAAATGTTTAGATTTATTTATTTTACTTTATTAATGTTGCGTACATGTATATATGTGTACCACCTGCATGCTTGGTGCCTGAGGATGACAGAAGAGAGGGTCAGATCCCCTGGAACTGGAGTTAGGAATGGCTATGAGCCACCATGTGGGTACTGGGAACTCAGCTCAGGTCCTCTTCATGAGCAACAGCTGCTCTTAGTCATGTAACAACCATCTTTGCAGGCTCTGATCAGAATTCTTGGGATGCCACTTCACAGGACATACACAGCTGAGTTTAAGAATGGCTCCAGGTATGGTTAGCCCCAGAGCTACTCCTCTGCACCTTTCAGCTGTTTGAATTTGTTTAAAAAAGTGGGGGGGGGGGGTGATATCAGTACTGACTCTGTTGTGGCATATTTGTTCACCCTGTGAAGATGTATTTGCTGTGATGGGTGTAATAAAAAGCTCAACAGCCAATAGCTAGGCAGAAGAGATAGGTGGGATTTCCAGGAAGAGAAAAGAGGAGGAGGAGGAATCTAGGTGTGCAGGCAAAGCAAAGGGACATGGAGAGGGAACAGGAGGTACAAGATGGAAGAGAAGTAAAGCCACATGATAGAATGCAGATTAATAGAAATGGGTTAATTTAGCTGGACGGTAGTGGTGCACGCCTTTAATCCCAGCACTCGGGAGGCAGAGCCAGGCGGATCTCTGTGAGTTCGAGGCCAGCCTGGGCTACAGAGTGAGTTCTAGGAAAGGTGCAAAGCTACACAGAGAAACCCTGTCTCGAAAAACCAAAAGAAAAAAAAAGAAAGAAATGCATTAATTTAAGTTATAAGAGCTAGTTAGGAACAAGCCTAAGCTATCAGCTGAGCTGTCATAATTAATAAGAAGTCGCCATGTTGTTATTTGGGTGCTGGCTGGCAGGCCAAAAAAAACTCATTAAATATGGCATCCAACATGGAGGCTTGAATATCCAAACACAGGGCCTGAGTAAGGTAAGAAAAGTTCTGGACAAGGAGCTGGATGTGGGTTCCTAGTCGTGCTGTCTCTCAGGCAGGCCAGGTAAAGCATGGGGTTTTTTTGAAACAGGATATAATAGTATTAAGTATCCACTTGAGAGGATCTACAATCTCTTGGGAGAAGAGCCTCTAGGATTTTCTTGATGCTACTGCTAATTGATATGGGAAGACCCACCTTAACTGTGGACCACAGTGTTCTCTGGGCATAGGGTCCTGAACTGTGTACTTGGAGAATCAGTCTTAGCACTAACATGCACTCACTGCACTCTGATTCCTGACTGTTGGATGCAGTGTGGCCGCAGCTTCAAGTTCCTGACACTTTGACATCTCTACCGTAACAAACGCCAAAACAGACCCCTTCGTCACTAAGTTGCATTTGTCAGAGCAACAAGAAAAGACATTCAGCCACAGAGTCTTCCTATGTAGCTTTGGCTGGCCTGGTATTATAGGCAAGAGCTACCATATGATGATAACTCCGGGCTAACACAACCTGGTGTTCCCTGTGCAAGCAGCCTAACTCAGCTATGGTATACTCTAACTGGTATTTCAGTAGAGCCTCCTTGATATTCCTTGGTGCCATGCCAATTCATTTCTGAGGGGACCGTCTCCCAAGTTCCCCTGAATCTGTATCCTAACCCAGGGTCTGTTCACAATGCACTAGAATCTGTAGTAGTTTTTAAAAAAATGGGTCTTCCCTCTGACAGCCTGAGCTGGGCCCTCAAGTTCATTTACCCCAGGAACTTGGGCAACTCTCTGTGCCCTTTGATTCAGCTCAGAAGAGTTGAAAATATCCTAGGAGGACCAAGTATAGATCAGGTAGTCAACAAGGACTGTAAATCAGATGCCAAAGGAGGGATTATGGGAAGGCCCATTGACTGACACAGCCTCTGAGAAGCAAGAGTTTTTATCCGCATATAGAAAATCAATAATATGGCACGACCACTGGAAAAATAAAAGGAAACATCATTGCTGCTTTTTTTTTAACTCTAAAACCAGAAACCATATATAATAACTGTCTGTCATTGCCTGTGGTTTCTATTTTATTTGATTTATTGGAAATATTCTCAGATTTACACTTGCAATGTTAGGTATTCTGAACATCTTCTTGCTTTGTTTTTTCCCAACATTTTATTTGCTGGTCAAAGAGCTTTTTTATAGAAGAAACATGACAAGGAAAGTGTACGGGGAAAGCCCATTTTGTTGTAAACAGCAGAAACAGATGAGCTAACAAGTCAAAAGACAGGTTTGCTGTCAAGGGAGGAGGTGGACGGCAGAACCTAAGCCTGGCATAGGCTAGGTACAGAGACCCACCTAGGTGTCAGGACTTATGGGTTACTCCCAGCACCACTGTGGATGTGATTCAGCTATCTATCTTCTGGCTTATTTCACAGTACTTGAGACTCAATGTCCTGAAAAGGAAAATCTAATTAGCTCACTGTGTACCATATGCCCATCCCAAAGAGGGTAAAACTTTGACCTATGGGGACAAGAAAGCTTGCTCACTAGGCCCACAAAGGCTCTACTACAGTGAGGCAAATGATTCTATATAAGGCTCTCTAGGGCTGGGGAGCAGCTCCATGACAGAGCATTTGCATGGTGTACACAAAGTCTCAGGCTTGACTGCTAGCCCTAGGCGAGGGCAGGTGTCAGAAGACAAACGGATATCTGTCTCTTGCTACCAAAAAAATAAAAAGGGTTCAAGGGGAGTGGGTACCCAAAAAGCAACTGTCTAGTAAGGGCAAATACAGATACTCTGTACCTTGGGCACAGTGTACTTGTTCCATGCATTCCTTACCTATGGAAACTGGTTAAAGGGCACTAGCAAGGGTACCTGGGAGATATCTAACATGGCAGCTTGTGAAAGAGCCATAGGGAGAAGATTAATTTTAGAACAGAAGTGGAAGATGCTACGATTGACTCACAGTGAGACTGGAATCCTGAAAACATAGTAGGACTGTCAGAAAGGGAGACTGAGAGAGTCAGGATGGGGCTGCTGGAGGAGGGGGTCAGTTGTGTCGTCTTAAAATGGGAGGGATGAATGGGGCTATGATAAGAATAATAGACAGTCCATCTATAGTACAAGGGCTAGAGGTGGTCCTGGACGCTGAAATGACCCTCTGGGATGTCATACCTAGATGAGCCTCTTCTGCCAAGTCGATCTTTAAACCACCTCTCAACTCCTCAAACATCACAATCTGTATGAAGAAGAAAGTAAATCAGCCAGAAGATTCCAGTTCTTCATCTGAAGCAGAACAGAGTTCAAAGAAAGTGAACCAGGAAGTAGGGGACATTGAGAAAATTCACCTCATTAATTCCAGGATGAAGCCAGGAGCCAGGCACATAGAGGGTTTCCTGGGGACCGACATTCCAGTATCGTCCTAGGATTTGTCCATTGATGAATATGACACCCTTTTCCCAGCCCTGAAAAAGATACGGAGGTTTCAGATTCTAACTTCTAGATGTAAAGACAGAAAACAAACAGATCCCTATCCCAAGGGCACACCAAATCTTAGCACAGGTCAAGATAGGATGGATCGACAACTCGGGCCTTTTGGGGGAGGGTGCTCTTGAGTCTGTGCCACTGCCCTGCCTTGGAGGTGGCTCAGCATCAGGCCACAAGGAGCAATCTAATTTCCATCTCATTTCCCCAGGTCTGACTCAAGCCCGCAGAGGGGATGTACACTTACAATCCAATTATCATCAAAACACATCAGGCTTTTAAAACATAGCTCAAATTGTAGAAGAGCAGAAGTGGTACCCAACGTGCCCTGGATGACATGCCTTGGACGGTGAGCCCATGCCAGTGGTACAAGTCTCTACATCTGGGGTTATGTGTGAGGACTAATGGGTTACACACACTAAATCCCTGCTACAGGGCTTGCACCAGGCAGTCTCACTGGCACATGCTACTCATGCCCCTTTGTTTCTATTCACTTTCCTTGCCCTATCCTGATGGTCCTCAGAGAGAGACACCTTCAGAATGGCCATGAAGTGGCTGTGACTTGGGGGAGCTCGGTTCCCTGCCACAGAACAAGGTTCATATACTGGGGAACTTTTATGAAGATTCTTTTGGGCCAGGGGCTGGTCATAAGAGCAGGAGAGAAATGGCACCAACCTGTATTTTTATAAAGATGTCCTGTGGAGGATCTGCAACTCTCAAGTGACTCAGGAAAAAGGCAGGGCCCTGAACATGGCTTGTCACTATTTCCCAGGACTTTGGAAGTTTCCTAAGAGGGAGTCAAGAGCCAATGAGAAGTTATACTTTTCTTCTAACATGCCACCTGTGACCTCTTCTATGAACCCTGGCACCCCACTCCTACTCTGGTACCAGCTATGTCCTTGGCATGCATGAGGGATTAGCCAGTGGACAATGAGACAGTCCCTTCTCTGCTCCCAGGCAGCTATGAAACTTGGCATCATTTCATTTAGTACTCTGGGTCTTGTTTTTTTTTTTTTTTTTTCCTATATGAAAACCAAAAGCTTCATCTGGAGACCTCTGAGCATCCCTGCAGCTCTGTATGTTCACCACGTTGCGGTATGTTTTATCTTATTTTGTTTATCTGCAGTTCGGTGACTGAACTCGGGGCCTCACACGTGCTGGGCAAACTGCCCTATCGCTGAGCTGTCATTCCCCTCTTAGCACCTTTGATCAGCTGAAGTTAAGGAAAACCTACTTTTGTGTGAATGCATTTCTCAGTTCCAGGCTGTAGATCACAAAATGTCTTAGTGGAGTCTTGTCCAGATAGACGTCTCCAGTTAAACCTGTGGAACAGGAGTGAAAGCGGTGTGAGGGAGGGGAGAAGGACAGAGGCGGCAGGTGCAGTCAGCTTTGGCAGTTGCAGTACACAGCCTGCAGTCAGGGTTCTCACCCTGAAGGAAGGTGCTTTCTTGGCCTCATCTGCCTGGAAGGTTTCTATACACGCCATAGATTTCCCCTTTCCTCTTGGTGGTGCTGGGGGTTCACTGCCAAGGCTCAACAGGCTCCAGGCATGCTAGGCAAGCATTCCACCAGTAAGCTACCAAAGGGCAAGTCCTACACGGGTATTATCCTCTTAAGTGCACACTCCTAGACAGGGTCTCATGGTCCACATGAGCAGCGCAAAATCATGGTAACTGCTGCAGATCTCACCAGCACAGGGCTTCTGGCTAGTTTGAATACTCAGGTTTGTCAAAGCACTTATGGTTTTTTTAAAAAAAAAAAAAAGTTTGTTCCTTTGGCTTGGCTCAGGAGTCCTGGACCTAAGCAGAAAGACAAACAAAAGCCCCGGGTTCCTAGAAATGAAGACATGATATCCTTAGAGAGGAACCCTAACCAGGGACATCACCATAGCTTTCTGCTACTGGCACCACTTTCAAAACTCCCATCAAAGTAGGTGGCAGTGTGATGGCTCTGGGTTGGTAACTACAGAACATAAAAATATCACAGTTTCTGTACAGAGGTATCTCCTAACCATCAAAGTATGTTCCTTTCCAAACACAAGCCTGTTCCCAGCTGCCATTGGCCTGGGGGAGAACAACAGCCTCTGATACTACACGACCTCAGCCATCTTCTTCCAGAACCCACCTTTTCTCTGCTTGTTAATATCCTTCCCAGAAGTGAGTCTGCCTTGGTTCTCCACCAGGATCCTCAGAGCCTGGGTTTTCTTGGAGGGCTATTCAAAAGAGAGCAGAGTAAGCCTCACTTGGCACCTCCTTTAGACAGTCTAGGCCTCCCTGGAGCTGGGACAGGACAGGAGTAGGTCTCCAGCTGTGGGACAGGCAAGCCCTTGTACTCTCACTTTTCCTCTTTCTTCCCAGAAAGAGTCACCTGAACATTTTAACAAGGACTCTCTTGGACTGGTGACCAAGCCAGAGTGCTCTGAACAGCAAATATTCAAGCGGGGGGAATGTGGTGTTCACTCAAAGAACATTCACCAGTACATCGAAGATGTACGTAACCCTCCCTGTGGTTCTGGGTTCCTCTGCATGGAGCACCAAGGGGAAATGAGTGGAAATAATCTATAATAAGGCCTTGCTAAGTCTTGGCCCAGGCCCAGCTGGAACTGGAATGTCTCATCCATCAACTGTGTTACATACATTTTTCATAATAAGTAGCTCATCGTTGTAATGATCCAGGACTCCTACGTGGTTGTTACCCAAAAACACCTGGCAAAGAAAGAAGAGATCCCTGTTAGGGCCTCGTGAGGCAAAAATGGAAAGCGGCACTGAAAACCCAATAAGCAAAGCAAGAGGCAGGATGAACACCATGTCTCCCAGAACTGCAGAGACTCACAAGTTCACTAAAAACAGGTAATAGTTAAAGCAGGACCGTGAGAAGATGCATGAAGTACAGCCTGGGCTAGAGCTCTCAATGAAAACTGGACCCTGGACCAACTGCAGGGCGAGGAGGGGAGATGCTTAAGACCTGCAGGAAGCTGGAGGGGAGAAGGTAAGAACGGATAGGATAAACATTTTCAAGCTAGCAAAGGGGAGGAGAAGGAACCGAGGGACAGCAACTGTTCTGGATTTGTCTGCCTTACCCCCAGGGGCTCAATTCTGCCAGATACTCCCAAATGGAGGCTGGAGAGCCAGTAGCCACATTCTGACTTATTTTAGGGATGATGTGCATGTAAATCCATTTTTTCCTATTACCTACTCTGCTGGTAGATTTTTGTCAACTTGACAAACTACTGTCACCTGAGAAGAGAGAACATCGGTTGAGAAAATGTCTCAGATAGCTTGGCCCGTAAGCAAGCCTGTGACCAATCTTATTAATTAATGATTGGTATGGGAGAGAGCTCAAGCCACTATGAGCAGTGCCACCAAGAGCCAATAGTCCTGGGTTGTATAAGAAAGCAGGCTGAGCTACAGGCAGCAAGTCAGTCCTTGCCTCCAGGTTCTTGCCTTGAGATCCTGCCATGGCTTCCCACAACAATGGACTGCAACCTGTAAGTCAAGTAAGTCCTTTTCTTCCCAAAGCTGTTTGGGGTCACGGTGTTTATGACAAAAGCAGAAAAACTAGCTAATAAAACTACTATATTGCGCCAGATGGTGGTGGCACACGCCTTTAATCCCAGCACTCGGGAAGCAAAGGCAGGCGGATCTCTGTGAGTTCCAGGCCAGCCTGGGCTACAGAGTGAGTTCCAGGACAGGCACTAAAGCTACACAGAGAAACCCTGTCTCAAAAACGACAACAGCAACAAAAAACCCAAACTACTATATTGATAAACACTAGATTAAACCACTCAGAAGACCCTGGTCAGGCAAGATGACATAGAAATATTTTGCTTCCTAAATTAATTAATCTAAATCACAATTTTTTCAAATGCAATTTTGCTAGGAAACTGTAACAATAAAAATCCTTAAGTATCAGAAAACAAAAGTATTCCCAATTCAAGATTACCAGAGTCTAATTGCAGAAGTTATATGTTTTATGGTCATTTATCAAAAGTCAGCTATCCAAATGTCTTCCTGGAAAACAGGTTGCCTAGTATGAAAAGCACAAAGGAATGCTCACAACACACTCCAACAGCAGCCATGATGCTGTGAGCAGACTTCTGTGGAGGACTTGAGAGAGGAAGAACAGGCCACAGCCAGGCTGCTTGGAGAAGGGTCTCATGGAGTCAACTGGAGGTGGGCAGCAAGTAGAGAAGTACATGACAGAAGGTTTATCTTGAGCAGGGGATTCGTGGCACTCTGAGGGTGAAGTAACAGAGGAAGGTAGAAAGTGATGGGAGAGTCTGAAACAGGAAGACCAGCTGTGTATTTTCAAAAGAAGAAGAAGAAGCAAGACACTAAGACAGCAGTTCGAAATCTACGTGTGAAAAGAATGGCCAAGTACTGGTGCAGCCCACAGGGGCCGGGTGAAAAGCAGGAATGAACACAAGGTAAAAAAGAACTTCTGAACAGAGATTATATGTGGGAAGTGGTGAACCCGCAAATGAATCCAAGGCTGACCTAGGAGAGCAATGTATGTGCCCTGGGAAGGGAGTTTGAAAAGCCAATGGAATGCAGAGTAAGTGCAGATAAATGTCTACCAAACTGTAAGAAGATGTCACTGCAGCAAGAAAGAAAGAAAAAGAAAGGAAGGAAGGAAGGAAGGAAGGAAGGAAGGAAGGAAGGAAGGAAGGAAGGAAGGAAGGAAGGAAGGAAGAAGGTGGGGGAAGAGAGGGAGAGGGCTGGAGTCATAAAGACACAAAGATAGAAGAACAAGGTCAAATCTGATGGTGCACACCTTTGATCCCCACACTCAGGAGGAAGAGGCAGATGGATCTCTGTGATTTTGAGGCCAGCCAGGGCTACAGAGTTTAGGCTCAGTGTGAAAAACAAACCAACGAAAACCAGAAGCACAGGTTGAATATTGTTTATCCAACATGCTTGAGGCAGAAGTGTGTCAGATTTGGGAAGTTTTCAGAGTTTAGATTTCCACAGACTTTAGAAGTTAAATATATCTGATTATATAGAGATAGAGATAGACAGACATATAGATCTTCATAGTACCAGAAATTGTTATTCAGGCTGCTGGGAAGGAAGCGTTATCAACAGACTTACCCATCTGTGACCACCATGAGCTACAATAATGACCAGTGTGGCAATATATGCCCATGGGTGCAATAATGGCATGAATGTTATCACAGTAAACAATTGCTTTCTGATTGGATTTAAGTCCTGCTCCACAGGAGAAACCATATACCTGGTAATATAAATCTGATGAATAACCTACAGTTGAGGAACTCACAGGTCCCAGAGCTGAACTATTATTCAGCTAAATGGACACAGTATTTAAATCCATATCTCACTACTCATTGATTAGAGTAGCTCTGGGTCCTCATCAGAGAAGTTTCTTCATGCAGTGGACAGTGGTTAAGCAGAAACTCACTGATCAAAGTGCAGAGAACAAGTATTTGTGGAGTGCACAACCACAAATGGGACCTCATCACTCCCCACTCAAAGCACAGGGATCATCTTGAGAGGGGATGATAAGATTGTAAGGGCCAGAGGTCATGGGGGACCAGAAAAAAACATTGTCTTCTGGACATGCCAGTTCTGCTGCACTCATGAACTCACAGCAACTGTGGTTGCATACATAAGACCTAAAGAAGATCAAGCCAGTCAATACTCTAACATGGGGATGGGAGAAGCTCAGTAACCCCTAATGGGAACTGAGGAGCTACAGACAGTTGATAGCTTCTGGGAAAGGGAGAGTCACTTTTCTTTAAGGGTGTGAGCCTACAGATTGACCATACTCCTAATGGATTCTCCCATACTCATAGGCAGACAAATTAGACTCTGTGGGTTATTAAGAAGGAGGAGGAGAGTTACTGTACAAATTGAACCAGCAGGACACAAGAAAGGTGACTGTCGAATTTGGCCAAGACAAGGTAGGACAATTCTTCAAAATTCCTGCTTCACAGGAAACTCTGTCAGATATGCTAAGCCTGTAGGCCAGAGTTAGATGTCCCAACATTGCAGAAAAACTTGGATGAGTGTCCAGGCAGCCTGATATCCCTGTCATTAGGAAACATTTCATCATTATGGGATCTTTGATGGAGTTAAAGACTAACCAGTTAAACTTATAGTTTTCCTTAGTTATGATAGAAAACATATTAGGTATAATACTTTAAACTCACCAAGATAACATATATGATAGAGTACTTTCTCTAATGTTGCCAAATACAAAAAGACTGGCTATTGTAACTGTAATTCTTACTTGATAACTGTTTTTGTTATATATAATTTTACTGTGCTAAAGTTAAAACCTTCCTTTTTAATTAGACAAAAAGGGGGATAATCCTTCTGTATACTGTGTGAATATATGTCACTATAATTGGTTTAATAAACAAGTTGACTGGTCAATAGCTGAACAGGATAAAGTTAGGAGGGAAAGCCAAAGTGAGGATTCTGGGATGAGGTAGAATGGAATTGGAGGAGATGCCAGCCAGCCACCGAGGAGGCAGGACATGTAGAAAATGAGGTAACAAGCCATGAGCCACACAACAAAGCATAGATAAGAAACATGGGTTAATTTAAATGTGAGAGTTAGGTAGTAACAAGCTTGAGCTATCTGCGGAACATTTATAAGTAACCTTAAGTCTCCAAGTCGGTATTTGGGAGCAGGTGGTTGGGACAAAAAAACTCTGTCTACAGAGGAGGAAGAAGAAGGTGAAGAGGAGGAGGAGGACACGGACAAGGAGAAAGGGGAGAAGGAAGAGGAAGAAGAAGATACAAAGTTGGGAGGAGGTAGGGGTGGATCTGGGAGGAGTTAATGAGAGGACTGAGAATAAATATGATCAAATACATTGTATGAAATTTTCAAAGAACTGATGAAATATTCTATTTTTAAAAAGTAAAAAAAAACACCTCTGAAGTGTGTGTGTGTGTGTGTGTGTGTGTGTGTGTGTGTGTGTGTGTGTGTGTATTCATATGTTTGGTGGGGTGCACATGCCCATGCATGTGCCTGTGAAAGCAAGAGATTGAGATTGGGTATCTTCAATCACTCTCTACCTTATTTTTTTAAGGCAGGCTCTCTTCATTGAACCTAGAGCTAGCTGTTTCAGTGAGGTTGACTGGCTGGCCATTGAGCTCCTAGGATCCTCCTGTCTCCACTCCCCTGAGCTGGTACAATAGACATGTGAGACCATGCCTGACTTTCTATATAGGTGCTAGGAGTCTGAGCTCAGGTCCTCATATCTGTGCAGTCAACACTTACTCTGAATCATCTCCCCAGTCCCATCTGGAATTGTTTACACATCACATTTTCACTGAGCATTTCAGATTGTGGACTAGGAATACTCAAACTGAAGCCTTGGGAAAAGGTAACGTAGAAGAGATGAAGAGCAGGAAACTTTCATAAAATAGCTCCTAACTTGGAGTGGGCTGGGACCTTCAATGTCTGCACTGTGACTTCCCAGCTACATACTTCAAAAGGCTTTTATATTTCCTGAAGTTGTCTTACTTGGAACACATCTCAGACTTAAATGACAAGAACCAACCTTTCATATGCTATATAAATAAATATTAGGGATAGATATACAGTAAGTATAGGGACTACTGAAGCACCTCCTGGATTTAAGAATGCTATCAGCTCCTATAAAAGGCAGGAGTACATGCCTAAGCATGTCTATATATAAATGATTTTACTAAAAAGACAGATGATAAGCAACAGACATAATTTTCTGAAGGAGAAATGATTTGATAACCACTTAGACATTTACCTAAGTATCACAGGATGCTAGTAACATAAAAGTGCCACTAGGAACTTCATATTGTTCCTTACCTGCCCTCGGTCTTGAATATGACCCCTCGAGGTGAGGAGGCCTCCATGGGAGATGGTGGTCTCATAAAGCGTGTACCCAAAGGATTGGCCATTCCCTTGGTTCACAGGCAGCAGCTCCATGGGGATTGGCTTGACAGACTTGGTTGGCTGAGGCAGAGATAGAAGTGACAGCCCTGTTGAAGGGTCAGGCTAGAGAAAAGAAGCTCAGAAGTTGCCACCCATAGCCCACTTCTCCAGGGGGATGACCCTAACAGTGGTACTGAAAAGGAATACACAATGATAATCATGCTTACACATAGCATATAAATTATCCTTTTTGCTTTCCCAACAAATCTCACATTTCACTGCACATGACAGCCAGTGAGTTATTCTTATAATTTAGATGAAAAGCTGAAATCCAGAAAAGCATAGGCATTATTACAGGCTTATGCCTGTAATTCCAGCAGTTGGGGAGCAGAAACAGGCAATTCCTGAGGCAAGTCACAAGAAAGACTAGCCAGAATGGATGAGTTCCAAGTTCATCAAAGAGACTCTGCCTCAATAATAAATAAATAAATAAATAAATAAATAAATAAATAAATAAATAAATAAATAAATAAATTTAAGCCAGCCTGATCTACAGAGCTAGTTCCAGGACAGCCAGGGCTATACACATACACACACACACACACACACACACACACACACACACACACACACACAAAAAAAAAAAAAAAACCTCTGTCTTGAAAAACAAATAAATAAATTATGTAAATAAATAAATTAATTAAAATTAAAATTTTTTAAAGTGCAGAATGATCAAGAAAAGCACATGACATCAACTTTGGACCTCCACATACATTCATATATTCACGCATATGCACAAACACACACATGTAGGCACACATGCACACACCTATACACACTACCCACACAACAACAAGAGCTCTTCAGAATTCCTTGGAGAAACGGATGATTCCAAGTCCGAGGAGGCACACAGCCTAGATCCTCCAGGGGAAGGAAACAACATAGATGTTAGCAGCTATGGGTGTCCTGTCAAGAAGACACAAAAGTCAAACAGAAGGGGTCCTGAGAGACTACAGTGGCCACTGTGAGCATCAAAGAGACTATGGTGGTGTACAAACAAGCTAAGCCTTACACATTTATAACCATACAAAAACCACAGCAGCTAAACAACCCACTGCACCTTTGGAAGACACATGAATTCATGCTTGTAATTAAAGAAAATACTTGACCTGGCCCTCTATACAAACAATGCTTAAGGGTAAAAAGCTGATGAAGGACGTTCTTCTGTAGAACTCAAGTTAGTGAATACAAACGAGTGATAGAATTAAAGCATGTCCAAGTCATTTAATGACATGTTGGCTTACTTTGTCAACATGGCTTATCGGATTTCACCTGCACCTCTGTCTCCCGCCCTCCACTCTTTATAGGACAATTTTATTTTATTATTTCACATGTATGGGTGTTTCGCCTGCCTGTGTATCTGGGCACTATGTGCATGCCATCCTCACGGAAACTAGAAGAAGGTGTTGGAGCCCTTGGAACTGAAGTTACAGACGTTGTGGTCCATTGGGTCCTATGAAAGGATAACTAGTGCTCTCAATCCCTCTAGCCCTATAAGATTATTTTAAATCATATCTCAGATGCCACTGAAATTCAATATTTATCTAAAAAAAGGGGGAAGGCTTTTTAAAAAGAAGTTATCACTATGGTAACATAATCACAATAAAAGCAGTGATGGTTATAATTCCCTAAAACAGGAGATTTTTAAGGAAATTTTTTGGCAACTGACTTTCTATTTATGTGTAGCTAGAGTTTTCCTGCTTGGCCCACAGTCAGGACAAATCTCTGTCACCTGCCAGTCCCACAGCCACTCAGACTCAACCAAGTAAACACAGAGACTTATATTGCTTACAAACTGTATGGCCGTGGCAGGCTTCTTGCTAACTGTTCTTACATCTTAAATTAATCCATTTCTATAAATCTATACCTTGCCACGTGGCTCGTGGCTTACCAGCATCTTCACATGCTGCTTGTCATGGGGGCAGCTAGCAGTGTCTCCTTCCTCCACCTTCCACTTCCCAGAATTCTCCTCTCTCCTTGTCCCGCCTATACTTCCTGCCTGGCCACTGGCCAATCAGTGTTTTTTTTTTTTTTTTTTTGGTTTTTCGAGACAGGGTTTCTCTGTGTAGCTTTGCGCCTTTCCTGGAACTCACTTGGTAGCCCAGGCTGGCCTCGAACTCACAGAGATCCGCCTGGCTCTGCCTCCCGAGTGCTGGGATTAAAGGCGTGCGCCACCACCACCCGGCCAGTGTTTTATTTATTCAGAACGATATCCACAACATTTATGAACTGTAAATATTTCCAGCGTGGTTAATTTCAATACAATAAGATCAATTGCTGCTAAAACCACTGGGCAGGTACCTGATGAAGAAAGCTGAAAATGAGCACTTACACCAGCACCTAAACCCACTGACCAGCAGTGAAACCATCTGCACTGTACACAGTGCACAACAATACTACCTGTGAAGGAAGCTCACAAGACAGAGGTGCAGGTGAAATCCGATAAGCCATGTTGACAAAGTAAGCCAACATGTCATTAAATGCCTTGGACATGCTTTAATTCTATCACTCCTTTGTATTTACTAACTTGAGTTCTACAGAAGAACGTCCTTCATCAGCTTTTTACCCTTAAGCATGGTTTGTACAGAGAACGGACCATGTCAAGTATTTTCTTTAATCACAAGCATGAATTCATATGTCTTCCAAAGGTGCAGTGGGTTATTTCGCTGCTGTGGTTTTTGTATGGTTATAAATGTGTAAAGTTTAGCTTGTTTGTACACCACCATAGTCTCTTTGATGCTCACAGATATGCAAATGAAAAACAGTGGCATGGTGGTGTGTGTACCTGTAATTCTAGTGCTAAGGAAGCTGAGGGGAGATCATGAATTTGAGGCCAGCTTGGCCTATAGAGCAAGACCCTATCTCAAAAACATAAATAAATAAAAGCAAAAGTAGAAAACACGGTGCTTAGTTGATAATGTACTGAGTCTGGTTCCCACCACCACGTAAAACCAACATGCTGTTACAAGTCTGTATTTGTCCCCTTCTGTGATGCCTGGCTTCTTTTGTGACACTGTCCACACAGAGCTTTCCTGTGCAACCCTAACTACAGCTCTCCAGACATGCAGCCCTCCCTGTCTTTATAAGTGGATCCAGAGTGCCTCAGCTTCTCTGTCTCTCCACATCACCCTGCTGCCATGCCATCTGCTCCTGTTAAGCCTTTCAGTCATAATACCACCCTGACTGGAGTGTTCACAGAATCCTGTGACTTTCCAGCATATAGTCTATATCTCTATAACAATGATGATAAATCTCAGTTCCTCCGCCTATGACCCATAACCCTCCAATCTGTTCTTCATTCATTCTTCTTCCTCATTAGACTGGAAGTTGTCTAGAATAACATCCTGATGATACAGTTCCAAAATATTGATATTTGGTGAGTTTTGTAGGGATAAGCATGTAGTGTTTCCTTAGACCAGGTTTTCAATCTGTGTTCCTGGGAACCCTTGCTAGAAGTGAGAACATCTTAGAGAAGGGATGGCTGCTGCTTACAGGAGAGGAAAGTTTAGTGCTCCAGAACTAACACCCTGACTAACCTCGTTTATGTTTTATATGTTAAACTTAACGATAAGTTTAGAGAAAGCATTCCTTTATGAAAACAAAAGATTAAACATCATTGCCCTAAGTCTAGTTAATGTACTTCCATTATAACATATGTTAAGAAGGCAGGGGATAGGGTTGGAGAGATGGCTGAGTGGGTAAGGGCAGTGTACTATTCTTGCAAAGGACTTGGATTCAGTTCCCAGCACCCATATAGTCACTTACAATAGTTTCTAACTCCAGTTCCAGGGGATCTGAGGCCCTCTTCTGGCCTCCACAGACACACATATGGTCCACTCGCATATATGCAAGCATTCACACATTAAAAGAATCTTTAAAAAGGAAGGAAGAAAAAAGGAAGACAGAAAGAAAGGAAGAAAGAAAGAGAAAGAGAGAGAGAAAGAAAGGGAAGAAAAAAGGAAGGAAGACAGAGAGAGTGTTCACAGCTAGATCATGAGAGGGGCTGTTTCCAGTGTTATACAATAGGTTTCCTGTTCTGAACTGTAAAACTTGAGAAGGAACTAACAAGGATTCATTTGGTTCCTTGGTCATCTACTCCTTAGTCTTTGAACTGTCCCTATATCTTCTATCTCCTTTTTCCCAACGTGATACCATGTATCAATATCCAAGAAACACTCACCCGGTCCAGATGGGGCAGGACTTCCCATAGGGTCATGAAATATAAGAATTTCAATGGTGTATAGGTAAATGTATTTGCAGGATTTCGTTTATTGGAAACATCTGCAATGAAAAGCATATGGCTGGCCACCCTATGACCTACCCCAACACCATTCCAAGACATCAGGTACCCTGTACCCTGCACAGCCGCCACAAATGAAGGACTCAGTCACATGATCTGATTTTCCTAACTCCAGGAAGAGTTAAGGCAAGTGCTAATGAGTAAGGATCCTCTCCTATCCTTAGACATTCAAAGAAGGACCCTTATTGTCCCAGAAAAGAGGAGCTTGTTGACCCCAGCTGGTAGACCTAAAGATCTCAACCTACCTGTTCATTAGTATCTCCTGAAGCCCAGCTACACACACAGATGCTCTGAGGCTCCACCCTTTCTTCCACCCCACCCCACCCCACCCCCCACCTGTCAACCCAGACATGCTTGCTGAATAGCTCAGAAGAAGGGGAGCTGGAAACTCTAGCTTTTAGAAGGTCTAGAGGATACCAGGCACAGCCACGACCAAGCAGCATGGTCCCATGCTGATCACATGAGCGCAGACCCTGTATTTCGTGTATTTCCAGTGCTGATGCTAAACTGGATCAAACTGGGTTTCTCCCCAAAAGGTCTTCACGCATGCCACCCCACCTCCTCCCAAAGCAGATCCCACTGGAGAAATCTAAGTCACTGTTCAGACTGACCTTGCTGGGTACCTGTAACAGAGCAAAAGAACTCCTGAAACACCCGATATTCGGGCGTGCGTGCGCCAGCTTCTGTCAGCAGTGCATTGTAGTCTGAAGAACACAGAAAAGTGGGTCATTTCCCCCATGGAAACCTTAGGATTAGCTTCTCTCCTTATGAAGAGGGAAAAAAAACAAACCTTAGCTCTGAGCAAAAAGATCCATAATACAGCAACCTCCAGGGGAGAGCTTTGGGTACATGGCAAGAGAAGCCCATGTATCTATCAGTCCAGATAAGAGGCCTCTGCTGAGCTTTGATGGGCATGGGGTTGTTAGAGGAAGCAAACTGCACCAGTCCGTGGGCTGTAGTAAGTCCTGGCTGACAGCCTGTGGCGCTCCAATGCAGTGGCTTATCCTTCCTATCCAATTTCTTCTTTCTTGTTCTCATTCTTCTTGTTCTCGTTCTTGTTCTCAATCTTCTTGTTCTCGTTCTTCTTGTTCTCATTCTTGTTCTCGTTCTTCTTGTTCTCATTCTTCTTCTTCTCGTTCTTAACTTATTCTCTTTCTTCTTTCTCCTCCTCCTCCTCCTCCTCTTCTTCTTCTTCTTCTTTTTTTTTTTTTTTTTTTTTTGGTTTTTTGAGACAGGGTTTCTCTGTGTACCTTTGCGCCTTTCCTGGAACTCACTTGGTAGCCCAGGCTGGCCTCGAACTCACAGAGATCCGCCTGGCTCTGCCTCCCGAGTGCTGGGATTAAAGGCGTGCGCCACCACCGCCCGGCTTCTTCTTCTTGAGACAGGGTTTATCCATATAGCCTTGGCTGTGCACCACCAATGCCTGGCCTAATTTTTTTATTTTTAATAAATTAATACTTTATTAAAATTTAAATTTATGATATTCAAAACACACTGTGAAGGTCATAAAAAAAGATAGGCTACGTACTGTGACAAAACATTTGCCAAGCATATATTTAGCAAAAGGCCTTCAATCTGGTGCTCAGATTTTTTAAATTCTCAAAATTACAAAAAACAAAGAAGTAACCTTTTTAAAAATGGAACAAAGATGTGCATAGATACTTCATCAAAAAAAAATTTAAGCAAAAGGGAAATCAGCAAATGGAAATATGTTCAAAATCATTAGTCATTAGGAAGATGCAAATTAAAACCATGATTAATACCAGGACACACCTGTCAGAATGATTACATTAAAAAGAATCAAGAATGGAAAGGTTGTGGAAGAAATAGAGATCTCATGTTTCTAAATAAACTGTTGGCTTTATTTCATCTTGAATTTCCCACTTGGTCTCTTGGGAGATTTGGAGGCTGTGGTAGTTTGAATGTAATTGGGCCCCCATAAGTTCAAAGAGAGTGGTACTATTAGGAGGTGTGGCTTTGTTGGAGGAAGTATGTCACTGTGGGGGTGGGCTTTGAGGTCTCATATATGCTCAAGCCATGCCCAGTGTCTCAGACCACTTCCTGTTGCCTGCAGGTCAAGATGTAGGACTCTCAGCTCTTTCTCTGGCACCATGTCTGCCTGCATGCCACCATGTCCCACCGTGATAACAGACTAAACCTCTAAACTGTAAGTTGCCACCTCAATTGAATGTTTTCCTTTCTAAGAGTTGCTGTGATCATGGTGTCTCTTCACAGAAATAGAAACCCTCACTAAGATAGAGGCTAAGAAAAATACATTTGTGGATACTCTGGTACTCTTAGGAGATCCAAAGCAACAGATAAAGCAAAGTTCTATGCAGCAGATAAGCAGGACTAAGCTACTAATCTCTCTGCTCACAAAGTCTCAGAAAGCCAAGACCCCAATATCTAGTGTGGTCACAAACAAATACTAGATCTTCAGTCCCCAACATACATAAAGTCAAAACAGATGAAGAGTTCCATAGATTTCCCTTAGGGGCCTAACCTAGTATGTTCTAGACTCAATAAGAGAGCAGCCTAATTCTGGCAGCCTAGTACTTGCCATAGCTGGTCACTACAGGTTGATAACCATCTGAAGACTGAGCTCCACCTATGAAGCCAAAGTTGGTGCCGCCATGGAACATATAGAAGTTGAAGGAGAACCCCAGGATGAACATCTCACGCACATCCTTCATCAGTACTGCAGAAAGATAGGAAAGAAAGGGGGAAGCAGGGGTGGGATTCTGATTTAAGAATTCACAGCTTGTGGTGTATATTCAAACTACCCATACCTGAACCCTTCAAGGTCTGCTAGAGCTCATGCCCAGAAAAACATGTTAGATAAGCCAGGACTGGTTGGAGTAGTTGGCAGTGTTGGTTTTCATGATCCAAAATCACTTATTAATTCTTTCTCTAGGTTTCATATTTGGGTGAATCTTTCTTTTTAGCATACAAACTGTATATTGCTCATGACTTTTAGGGGCATACCTGTGTCCAGCTTACTATTTCTAAAGCACTTACCAACTTCTTAGTGACTAATCTGAAATGATGGCACCAGTCACATTGACCTTCAACTCCATTTAAATGGCCATCATCCATTCTCCAGGAGGAGTAAGAGAATGATGAGTTAAAATTAGCTGAATTGGGGTTATATAACTCCCTACTTCTATATCCAGCAGACCTCCATGGTATTTCCATCTCACAGAATAATGTATTCTCATTACTTTTATAGCCTTGGTTAAGTGTATTTATAATGAAAACTATAGAAATTTAAGTTCCTGTTGCAATGACCCCCAGAGGTGCTCACACTCTATGGCCACACCATCTGAGAAGATATCTAGAAGGTATCTACTTAGCTAGGTTGATGTTTATATGATACAACATCTGGGAGCCTTGTCCCTAAACCTCAAGTACACTAACCAGCTAGGAAAACAAACAAACAAACAAAAAAGACAGACCAGCACCCCTGGTGTCACATGCTTCCCTGAGAAGTCAGTAAAGGAGGACTCACTATGTGGATCTCCAAACTGGCGGAGAGCTCCCCATGTGTCAAAAGAGTTTGATGTATATACCATCATCAGTATAGGGCTTCTACCCTGAAGGAAGGAAAAAAAAACACATCCATTTAGGAAGCTCTTCCACAATTCTGAAGCACTGACCTGCCTGCAAGGGACCTTGAAGCCCGGTGCTTCATGCCCTTTAACTGAAAGCACCCTGCCACATCCCAGGAGCTCTGAGTTCTGCTCTCCCCTATTCACATGATCATTCCAGCCACATGAACTCCTCATGTGATGTCACTGATTTCATCTTTTCCAAGCTTTGGGAGGAGGCGTGGACCAACTGCCTTTCAAGACATCCTAAAAGTAGAATCTGGAAATTTCTAAAAACAGAATCTTTTCTTTTTCCTGGGTGACCAGAGCAGAGGTCTAGTAAGAAACATCAGACACAGAGGGAGGATCTTTAAATGTTCGATTATATAGGACTGCATTGGTGAAGGGATTATGACAACTGCTGGGCTTTCAACTAACAGCAGAAAGCAATTCCCTAGAAAGCAGAATGAGGAAGAGTTAGGATTACAGCACTCAGCCACTATGGCCTATGGACCAAGTGTTCTGGATTTATACAGTTTGAACCTAAAACCACCTCTAATAGATATTTAAGGACACTGAAGATTCAAATTTTAACTAAACTAATTACTACTAAGATTTTCCTCAATAAGTATGCCAAGAAGTCAAGGGTAGGGCAAGAAGCAAAGTGTCTGTAATGTCTGAAAGGCCTTTACTTGAATGGATTCGAGGTCTTCATATGTTTGTTTCCTTATATTCTTCATGTGGACAGTGGCCAGCACTGTGGGTAGAAAGAACACACATGAGTTCCTGCCATGACCACACAGGGCAGGGGCACAAGACCCTCCCAGAACCAGACTGCAGAGTCTGGGCCACACCTCTTGGACATATGCCTCCCATATTCTCACTTCAGTACTTCCGTAGCCAGAGCTAGCAATAAAGACATGATGCTACTCTGAGAGCCACATAAGCACATACAAAGGGATTTCACACATGGTCCTTCACTTAGAACTTATAGTGATGATCTTGAAAGTTTAAAAGATGGTTAAAATATGCCATATGACACAAAAAGAAAATGAAGACATTAAGACTCCAAAAGTTGACATTTTTGGTTGTGGGGGTCAAACCCAGGACCTCTTTCATACTTGACTTCTAGTTCAGAACACTGTTCTAGCCTTCCAGCTACATCAGAGAAGGGCCACCAGACAGACCAGGGACAAGAGAATGGAGCTGACAAAATTGCTCAGAGGAAAGAACTTCAGAAATTGCTTTTCTCAGTCTTGGTCTCTATGCATTTATTTCTTCTTCTTTGTGAGGTTGACCCCATGGGCACATGCTAAGCAAATGCTCTACCCCTGAGAATTACCCCTCTCCTACCCCACTCCCAAGCCTGCTTTTATTCTCTGGACTCATTTGTTCAGAGAATGGCCAGGTCTGGGTCCATGGCAATCCTACAACTCTGAAACACCTCCATTCTCTGTTGTTCAGCCAGGGACACTTGGCAGAGCTAGAGACAACTTCTACTTGTGCTGCAGTTGAACCCTGGGCTCAGCCACTAAAAGTTTGAAAGGGTGGAGTAACACTCTGGTCATAACAGCTGGTGTGCAGCAAGGTTGGGTCCTACTTCCTAGCTCAGTTTTGACCACAAGTTCTTACCATCAGGAAGTGGAAGGATAAAGCATAGAAAGATCTGTGCTTTTTCAACTTGACCAGTGTAGAAATAAACGCAGCCAATACCATACCATTTTTCAAGTGGCCCTTTTTCAGATTCAGACCATCATCTGCAGTCATGAGCAGCTCACTGATCCCTCTTGACACCAAAGCCTAAGGAGAAATTCAGTAAGAGAAATGAGTTGCCCCTCATTCCATGAGATTGCCTCTTCCTAGGGGTGGGGAAAAAAAAAGTCAAAACTATGCCAACGGAAATACCACAGTGACATTGAGACATGGAGAGGAGGGCTTGATCCCCACATGCAACCACTTTTAAGTTAAAACAAAAATATCAGGCCTGCCTCAGTCACACTCCTCAAGGGCAGTTCCAATTCCAAACCTCCCAGAGGAGGCAGAGGGGCAGTTGCATCACCCAATGCACTGCTTTCCCCCAAAGGACCTCCAGGGGTTTCTCCAAGCCAGAAAGCAGACAAATGAATGTTTCTGTCCATGCTGCTGCCAAATTACCATACCTTGTGAGCCAAATCCACAGGATACGACTTCTTCAGTAGTTTCTTCAGTCAGTGGGAAGGGCAGGTAAACCTTTTATAATTTATTTTTTAAAACTGGGTAAATAGCTCTGTTGGTTGAGTGCTTGGGTGTCACACACAAAGCCTTGAGCTGGAGCATCAGCAACACATAGACTAGATGTGGTAATACTCCCCTATAATCCTAGCCCTTGGGAGATGGAGGCAGGAGGATCAAAAATTCATCAAAAATTCAAAGTCACCCTGAGAGCAGGAGGAAAAGGGACTACAGAACAGAAAGTGGGACAAAGACAAGGGGGCAATGTAATAGGTCGAGTACAAATATATCAGCAACGACTGGAAACAAGCTAGTTCCTCATTCACAAAAGTTCTTGGAGGTGGTGGGGGTGGTTGTAAGGATTGTTGTTCACTAACAATGTGACAGGACCTAGAATAACTTGAGGGGTGGGCCTTCAAGCCTGTGGAGGATTATCTCAATTATATTAACTGAAGCAGGAGGATCCATCTGGATTGTGAACTGGACCATTCCCTGGGCTGGGGACCCTGAGCTGTAGAAAACACAGGAAGCAAGCTAGGCGCTCGCATGCGAGCGTTCGCCTTTCTCTGCTTCCTGGCAGGAGATGTGATGAGAGCAGTTGTTTCCGGCCCCAGCTGCTTTCACTTACCCGGCTCGATGGACGGGACCTTCAACCGCGAGCTGAAATAAGTCCTTTCTCCCTTAAACTGCTTTTGTCAGAATAATTTATCGCAGCCAGAGAAAAAAGAAACTAAGAGACTGGTATTTTGAGACAGGGTCTCATGTCACCCAGGCTGACCTCTAACTCACTGTATAGCTGAAGGTGATCTTGACCTGTTGACCCGCCTGCCTTCACCTCTCCCAAATCAACAACAAACCTGGCTGTGTACATTCTTCGCTACTTTTAAGTACCCTAAGTAGATGGATACATTGGAAAGTAAAAGAATGGAAAAGCACATACTGAATGTCACCCAAAAGGAAGCTGAGATATTCATAGAAAGTAAAGCTGTCCTAGTGTGGGTCTCTGCCTTATATCACAGCCATCTGTGTTATTTCCAGGCCACTGACCAGAATATAACCAAAAAATCAAAAATAAAGCTGGGCCCTATTCATCTTCATACTTCACAGTTCCGGACAAGCAACAGGTATTCAGGACATGTTTGCTCCACAATAGAACAGACTCCAAGAAGCAGAGAAAAATTAAAAGAGCACTTACTCTTTTTACATACGCCATATATTTTTTATCCATATAGTAGGAGCCATATTCATTCTCAATTTGCACGGCAATGATAGGGCCTCCTTTTCTATACTGAGGGTCAAGGAGATAAGAATGTAAAAGTTGGATCCTGGTGGGAAAAGACTGGATTTTCTAAATACTGGGCACACATGTAAAAACAGCATCCCCAACCCCAGACTGGACCACAGTGCTGGTCATTGCTCTCACTCAATACCAGCGGCTCTATGTGAGAAGTCAAATGCTTCCAAAATAGTTCCCTTAAAAATGTGCCCTGAGTAACTACCATTTCCCCACAGTTAAATGTGTTAATCATGAGGTCTAAAACATCCAGAGTCACCCTTCCCATCTCTCAAGAGCTTTGCATTTAGAGGGGCACTGCCTTCGACACCTTCACCCTTCTTCATTTGAAATGCCTTAAGGCCCTATGTTAAGATTAACTTGCCTGGACCATCAGCCCTTCTAGGCCATCTTGCCCTCTTCACCTTCATAGCCAAACTTATATTTCCTCAAATTTCCTTCAGGAACATGTAGGATAACCACAAGGTACCTCACCTGGCATGTAGGGGGCAAAACACTATAAGGAATATATCCATGCCAATGATGTAGTTAGCAATGTGAGAGCATCCAGGACTGTGTATTCCTATGACTGAAGTGTTTGCACACTCAAACCAGACCATAATGACTGAGGAGAAATTTTAGACAGAGTTGAAACCGGAAGGTATTAAGCAAGCAGCAAACACCTAATCCCTAAGTTTTTTGGCATGGAAGTTAAAAAGGACACAAAGACTAAAGGTGCATTTTAACTTTCTAAACTGCATGTCCCTTAGCTGACTAACATTGAAAGACTTTCAAAACCAGCTTCTTCCCTTTTCCCTTTCACTCCACATCTCTCCAGTGAAGAATAGAGCAGAAAAGAAGAAAGATCTAGAAGCTGCCAGTACCCGGAAGATCTGAGGCAGAAGATCTAGAATTTGATAAATTTGATTGAAATATTCTAGAGAGGAATTCTCAGGAGTAAGAAGTACTGACTCATGAGGCTACAGGAGAATGTTTCCAAGATCCCTCAACATCACTAGGCTCTGGATGAGGTAAAACTCACTCAGCAGTTTCCAGGCTAAAGTTTCAAGGCTGCAGTATCCTAAGTTAGGAAGGGTAAGCACACTGGCTAACAGCAATGAAAAGGTCCTAGGTTCTGTTCTGTTCAGTTCTGGAGACAGGTTCTCACTATGCAGCCCTGGTTGACCTGGAATTCACTAAGTAGACAGTTTGTCCTTGAGCTCACGTAGCTCTGCCTGTCTCTATCTCCTAAGTGTTAAGATTAAAGATGTACACCACCATACCCAGTTGAGTTTTAATTGTATCAAAAACTGGTCTCGAACTCCTTATGACCAGGAAGATGATCTTGAACTTCTGGCCCTGATGCTTCTACCCCTTGACTTCTGGGATTACAAGCTTGAAACACCACACTGGTTTATGAGGTGCTGAGGATTTAACCCAGGGCTTTTGTGGAAGGCAAGGACTCTACCAACTGAGCTTATCCCTAACCTGAGGTTCTATTTATGTACTGCCCATATAATAGCAACCAGCTGCTTGTAGTTATTGGTACAGTGAAGAAGAGTGTGCCCTGGGAACTTAAGTTTTAATTGTACTTTGTTTACATTACTTTAAGTAGCCACATGTGTCTATGGCCATCGTATCTCTGAAAAGGACCATCTCGCCTATCGCCCAAATGTGCTTTGGCTTGTGTAGTTTGGTCACTTATGGGTTTTAATATTTTCCTTGAGTAATTATAGTTAGTCTATTCCCAGTAAGTTCAGCCATGTGAAGCATTCATCTAGACATATGCAATTTGGGGCATTGCTTCCATTTAATATATACTAATCTAAAATAATTACTGTGAGGATAAAATGAGTTGGGCAAGTGCTAATTTCCTTGTGCAAAGCTTGATATCTAATAGATAGATGCTATGATGGCTTGAATAAAAATGGTCTCCATAAGCCCATAGGGAGTGGCACTATTAGGAGGTGTGGCCTTATTGGAGTAGGTGTGGCTTTGTTGGAGGAGGAGGTGTGTCACTAGGAGAATGGGCTTTGAGGTCTCAGAAGCTCAACCCTGGCCAGTGCATCACTGTCATTTCATGCTGCCTGCAGACCAAAATGAAGAACTCTCAGCTCCTTTTCCAGCACCATGTCTACCTGCATGCCGCCGTGATTCCTGACATGATGATAATGGACTGAACCTCTGAACTGCAGGTCAGCCCCAATTAAATGTTTTCCTTTCTAAAAGTTGCTGTGATCATGTTATCTCTTCACAGCAATAGAAACCATAACTAAGATATAAATAATTAAACTTTATTGCTCTCTATTCATTTTCTACATAGTGGAGACATTCTTCAACATAATGTGCAGGTCTGTCTCAACTAAAGCCAACCTAAGTTGAAAATATACATACATACATACACAGGTGATAGATAGAAGATACATACATACATACATACATACATACATACATACATAGGAGACAGATACATATAAATGTGTTAATATATGGTGTACCCCAATAAAGCTTTCCTGGGGATCAGAGGACAGAGCCAGCCACTAGATTAGACATAGAGGCTAGACAGTGGTGGCACACACCCTTAATCCTATCACTCGGGAGGCAGAGATCCATCTGGATCTCTGTGAGTTCAAGGCCACACTGGGCTGCATGAGAGAAACAGCCAGGCAGTGGTGACACATGCCTATAATCCCAGGAAGTAATATGACAGAACACAGAAAGGTATATAAGGTGTGAGGAAACAGGAACTTTCCTCTCTCTTAAGACTGAGGATTTCATAGAGGTAAGAACTTGTGGCTGGCTTGCTCTGCTTCTCTGATCTTTCAGCTTTCACCCCAATGTCTGGTTCTGTTTTTTTTTTTTATTAATAAGACCTTTTAAGATTCGTGTTACATACATACACACATAGATAATAGATAGAAAATAGATACATACATACATAGATATAGATAGTAGATACATACATACATAGATATAGATGGAAAGATAGACAGATAGATAGATAGATAGATAGATAGATAGATAGATAGATAGATAGACAGATATATAGACAGACAGACAGACAGACAGACAGACAGATAGATAGATAGATAGATAGATAGATAGATAGATAGATAGATAGATAGAAGATGTAATTTTTAAAAGACTTAAGCTTTCATACTGTTATCAGGTCAAATGCCCTTATCTCAACCACTATAAGTCAGATACCACTTGGCTGTACTCCTTTTTATGCTCCTGAATTGTTTGAGGGACCATGACCTCTACAATGGGACTCCCCTAAATCACTGTTTGTGATGCATTGGCATGTAGCTGCCTGTGAAAGCTTAGAGAATCACCACTAATTCTAACTTCTGGTAATTCTGAGTGCAAGCTAATAACCAACAGGTCAAAGCAAAGACACAGAACATTCTTCCAAGTGTCCTGACAGTGGAAGGGTAGACCAGAGTTGAGCAGGTGGTGTGGAAAGGAGAAAGAAGAGCAGTTAAATCCAGACCGTGTCCCCACTTTGAGACAAGATCTCAGTATGTAGCCTAGGCTGGATCCTTTCACATCTCCTGCCATAGGCTGGGATTACAGTATGCACCATCATGCCCAATTTAAGTCTAAAGCCAGAAGCTTTGTTAACTAAGTAACTGGAATGCCTGACTACTAATGCACAGTAGCCAGCATATGCTTCCTGCTTCTCAGAGCACAGAAAGTGGCAAACACTAGCCAGGAAATCAGTCTGGCAATCACTTTCCTTACGGGCAGAGATGAGGATTGGGTTTTACCTGGAACGGTGCTATCCTGGGAATCAGATAGTTGAAATACTCATTCATGGCTCCAGTGAATCCCTTGTAAGTTGTCCGCAGCTTCATTTTTGGATCCTTGAGTAACCAGCTATGATTGAAAAGATGAGATTCAGACTCAGGATGGGAACCAGTCATAAGAAATGTTCCCACAAAGGAGAGCTAAAACACAGCCCACATTCACATGGCCACGCAGAACAGTGAGATGCGAGAATGGGGTCCAGCTTCAAGAATGAGCAGACTCTTTTAAATTAAAAACACCCCAGCACCCCCAAGATGCGCGGGGAGGGAGGGGTGGGGCGCTGGGGGAGGACTTTGTAACTGTATTCCAAGGCAGAGTTCACCAAACCACAGCCAAATAGCCAAGTCAGACCTGCTGTCTATTTATTAAATAGTTTTGTTGGCACAACTGTGCCAGTTGTTTATATATTTTCACTGCAGTTTTCAGGCTAATTCCAGAGGCTGCCTGTGTCTCAGAAAGCCTGAAATATTTTCTCTCTGGACTTTGTTTGTGTCTACATCTTGCTATCTATGTAGCACTGACTAGCCTAGTGCTCAGGATGTAGCCCAGGATGGCCCCAAATTTGTGACAATCCTCCCACTTCAGCTGGGATCACTAGTTGGCCTCTTACAGGAAAAATGTATTAACCTCTGTTCTGGAAAGAGATGGTTACATGGCTGTTTAGAAGTGCTTGTGTTTGTGTGTATGAGAGATGGAAAGCCTGGTCCCACTGGAGAGTCCTAAGCTAGGAAAAGAAAAACAGCACCAACAGATGGTCCCGCTACAACCCGCATAAACTCTGAATGTATTATCTAAGAGCAAACAGCCAGACTCCAAAGCATACCTGTAAGTACCTGCCATCAATAAACGAAACGGTGCAGATCGTCTAAATGTGTACGGAAGTAAAGCCCTGTGAAAATGCTTCCCACCCAGGGACCTTCAGACCACAACTCACCTGGGCAAGCCTCCAAGGTCTAAGTCACTGCCAACATAGGGACCTGGACACAGAATGACCCAGAGCCCCTCCCCTGATGCCATGGTGATAAAAGTTCTGGAAAGAAAGCAATCACAGTAACGTTACCCCCCAAAGCAGGGCCTTGGCATGACGGCTGTTCTTCGTTCCTTCCTTCCTTCCTTCCTTCCTTCCTTCCTTCCTTCCTTCCTTCCTTCCTTCCTTCCTTCCTCCCTTCCTTCCTTCCTTTTCAATCATAGCTGGTTACTCATGGATCCAAAAATGAAGGTGCGGACAACTTACAAGGGATTCACTGGAGCCATGAATGAGTATTTCGACCATCTGGTTCCCAGGATAGCAAGCAAAAAGTTATTAGAGCTTTTGCCTGGCTAGCAAGGCAGAATTAGAGGCTGGGAATCAGTGGCACACACCTTTAATTCCAGCAGTAAGGAAGCAGAGGCGAGCAGACCTCTGTGAGTGTGCGGCCAGCCTGGTCTGCATAGATAATTCCAGGCCATCTAGGGTTATATGGTGAGACCCTGCCTCAAAACAACAACAAAAAGGCAAGAACCAAAAAGCAGAATGATACATCCATTCCTTCACCCAATCCCCCAGGTACATCCCTCTCTGAATCTCAGAATCACGTAACTAAAGTATAAACACGTACATGAGGTCCAGGTTTTCAATGAAACGAAACTGGCCCACTGCTGGCTCATGGAGATTCCAAGGGACGTGCCTGTCGTGCGGAAAAAGAGAAGCGTAAGGAGCTCCCCCATTGTGTGCTTCTTCTACACTGACTCCTCCACTTGTAACATAGAAACAAGCTTCTCTCTTCTTGGAGAAAGCTGAATGTTTCAGCAGCGAAGCCTCCAGTGTGGACACCTGCATTCCAAGCACTGAGGAGGCTGACACAAGGGCATCACAAGGGTAAGACCAGTTGGCTCTACAGGAAGTCCTGTGCCCGAAAAAAACAAACAGAAACTGTTGGGTGTGGTGGTACATGCCTGGAATACCATCACTTTTGGGGCTGAAGCGGGAGACTCACAAGTTTGAGGCCAGTCTAGGCTACATAGTGAGACTCTGTTAAAAAACAAACAAAAAACAAAAACAAACAAAAAAAAAAACCCAGGCCTGGTGACACATGTCCTTAATTCCTGCTAAGGGTGATGAGGGGAGGGGATGCAAAGTTCAATGACTAATTCTGGTAGAGAGTTCAAGGATAGCTTCAGCAATTTAGCAAGACCTGGTCTCAAAATAAAAAGTCAAAAGGGCTTGTACCTAGTTCAGTGGGGTGTGTGTATGTGTGTGTGTATGTGTGTGTGTGTGTGTGTGTGTGTGTGTGTGTGTGTGTGTGTGTGTGTGTGAAATGACAGATGTTTTGGGTGCAATGGAGAAAAAGAAATGAAATATGCAAGTTGGAACAAACAATAGAGTAGACACCTAGAATAAAAGGCCAGTGGGTTTTTAAAATATAATGAAAGAGCTGGACATGGTGGTGCACGCCTTTAATCCCAGCACTCGGGAGGCAGAGGCAGGCAGATTTCTGAGTTCAAGGCCAGCCTGGTCTACAGAGCAAGCTCCAGGACAACCAGAGCTACACAGAGAAACCCTGTCTCAAAAAAAAAAAAAAGAAAGAAAGAAAAAGAAAAGAAGATATAATGAAAGAAACTGTCTTAAACGACAATAGAATAAAAGAGAAGACGGAATAAAGACAGCACTATGGAATGTGAGCATGTGAGATCTGGTCAAGAACTCCAACATACAAGTCACTGGAGCCCTGTAGCAAGGAGAAGAGTAAAAAATACTTGAAAAAAAAAACAATCAAAATGTTCCAAATTTGATGAAAACAGTAAACTACATACGGAATCTACCTCAAGAATCTCAACACAGGAGCTGGAGAGATGGCTCAGCAGTTAAGCATTGTTGCTCTTGCAGAGGACCCAGGTTTATCCCAGCACCTACAGCCATCCAAACCTCAGTTCCAGGGGTCATCTTCTAACCTCTGCAGGCCTGTTTACTGCAGGCCCCCAGTTCTGGCATACAACTTTTCATACTGTCTGTGAGTTACTTTGACATCTCTTTGTCATATTCATTCTATTTCTTTTTATCTGCAACATTTCTCATATATATATATATATATTTCATATATATGTTGAACATATATTTTATATGTATTATTTTACATACTTATATTAATATTATACACACACAAGTTAAAAATATTGTAGTGTGATTATCCTTGGAATCCCATACGGTTTTGTCAATGAAAAAAAAAAAAAAACAAACAGTATGTGGCCATCTGGGTGAGTCTCCAAAACAATATTTCAGTTTTGTTCTTGAGTTTTGTTTTGCGACAGGGTCTCAATGTAGATCCCAGACTGGCCTCAAATGTGTGATCCTCCTGACTCAGCCTCCCACGTGTTAGGCTCACAGGCTCACAGGCTTTCAGCTTTTGTCATTTGGTTTTGACCCTTCCTGCTTTTGAACTGGAACTTTCACCATCAGACATCTTGCTCTTAAGCCTCAAGCCCACAGCAGTGGAGACTTCTCATCCCCAGTAACTGTGTGAGCAATTCTTTATCATCACTCTTTTACCCGCTGTGGTGGGTTGAAAGAAATGGCTCCCAAAGGGAGTGGCACTATTAGAAGGTGTGGCCTTGTCGGAGGAAGTGTGTCACTGTGGGGTGGGCTTTGAGGTCTCTTTTTCTCAAGCTTCCCTCAGTGTGACAGTCCGTGGACTTCCTGTTGCCTGCAAGATGTAGCACTCTCAGCTCCAGCACCACGTCTGCCTGCATGCCTCCATGCTCCCTGTCATGATGATAATGAACTGAACCTTCGAAACTGGAACAAGCCAGTAAGTACCTCCCCTCCACGGCCTCTGCATCAGCTCCTGCTTCCAAGATCTTGCCCTGTTTGAGTTCCTGTCCTGATTTCCTTCAGTGATGAACAGCAATGCTAAAGTGTAAGCCTAATAGACTTTTTCCTCCCCAATGGTCCCGGTGTTTCATCACAGCCATAGAAACCCTAAGACACCTGCTGATTGTGCTCACCAGGAGACACTTGACTACCACAGAGGATACAAAGAGCCACGGCCTACCAGGAGCTAGTCCTCACCTCACAAAGGGAAGCCTTTGCTGGAGCCAGAATTGCTTAAAGAACACTCCAACTGCAGCTCATGAGCTGAGATTCGGTGCAGATAATCTTGGTGGTTTAAAAACACTGCAATAGGGAGAGGCTTGTGGGGGTGTGGACCCCACATTTTCATGATGTTTACCTCCTGAATCCTAAGTTTTCACTGTAGAGAGCTGAGGAGCGTTCCCTTCAGCTTCCTACTGGAGAGGGAGACAGTGACCATTTGACATGCACTCAGAGCATTCTGTTCTCAGTAAAAGCTCCAAGGAGACTGTTTCACTGAATCCTAGCCAGAGTGAAAAAAGTCTGCCTCTAGCCTACTCTCTACTTTCACATGGAGGACAAAACCATTCAAACCTGTGTCATGGTAGCAAACAGGTACTCAAGACATCCTAAACATATGGCACACCTTTTTGGTTAGCTGTTGTTTTGGTGGTGGTCTTTTGGTTGTTGGTTGGTTGGTTGGTTGTTATTTTTTTTTTGTTTTATTGACAAATATTATGTAGCCTAGGCTAGCTCAAATTTTCTATGTTACTGGGACTGGCCTTAAACAATCCTCCTGCCTCTACCTCCTAAATATTGAGATTATAGGCCTATTCCACAAACTTGATAAGATGACTAATCTTGACATGCACTCAGAGCATTCTCTTCTCAGCAAAAGCTCCAAGGAGACTGTTCCACTGAATTCACTGTCTCAGTTAGGGTTTCTATTGCTGTGAAGAGATACCATGACCATGGTGACTCTTATAAAGGAAAACTTTTTTTTTTTTTTCGAGACAGGGTTTCTCTGTGTAGCTTTGCACCTTTCCTGGAACTCACTCTGTAGCCCAGGCCAGCCTCGAACTCACAGAGATCCGCCTGCCTCTGCCTCCTGATTACTGGGATTAAAGGCGTGCGCCACCACCGCCCAGCTAAAGGATAACTTTTAATTGGGGCTGGCTTAATGTTCAGAGGTTTAGTCTATTATCATGGTAGGAAGCAGGCAGGCAGGCAGGCATGATGATGCTGGAGAGGTAGCTGAGAGTTCTACATCTTGCACAGGCCACAGGAAGTGATCTTAGACACTGGGTGTGGCTTGAGCATATATGAGACCTCAAAGCCCACCTCCACAGTGACACACTTCCTTGGACAAGGCCACACCTCCTAATAGTGCCACTTTCTTTGGGAGCCATTTTCTTTCAGACCACCACAGTTGATTAACTGTGGAATTAACTTAAACTCAAGCAGCTGGGCATGCTTGTGAGGGATTCTCTTAGTTGAGGTGGGAAGACCTGCCCCAAATGTAGATCAACTGAAGACAGAAGACCCACCTCAAATCTGGGTTATCTGAGGACAGAAGACCCACTCTAAAATCTGGACAGCCCATACAAAATGACATGGAAGAAGGAAGCTTTTGATTTTTGCCTGCTTGCCCTCACTCTCACTGGCAACTTTGCTGGTATTAGAACCTACGTCTATGGGATTCCAATGCAGACTGAAGACCAGCAGCTCTCTAGAACTTCTGTGGGACTCTAGCACCAGATTGGGGCTACTGAGACACCCAGTTTCATGGACTGAACAATTACCAGATCCTTGGCCTTTCTATCAGGAGACATACTACTCAGACTGCAGTAAACGACTCTAATAAACGCCATATATATATATATATTTTCTGTTCCTTTAGAAAACGCTGACTAATAACTTAGCTAACAAATATCTTTCTTTCTTTTTTCTTTTTTTTTTTTTTTTGTTTTTTTTTGAGGCAGAGTTTCTCTGTGTAGTTTTGGTGCTTGTCCTGGATCTCGCTCTGTAGACCAGGCTGGCCTGGAACTCACAGAGATCCACCTGGCTCTGCCTCCCGAGTGCTGGGATTAAAGGCGTGTGCCACCACTGCCCAGCTAATATCTTTCTTAATAATAATTTTAAAATGACTGTTCAAATGAAGTCTCTGCTAGGATTCAGTGAAAAAAATCTTATACAAGACCCAGAAGCAACAACTCACGTGGTGAGGGTGTTGAAGCCACCGTCCCGCATCTTCCTCAAGCTGACTCTCCATTTCTGCCTAGGTATCCGGAAGTAGTCGATAGTGCCAGATATGATCCGGAATGGGGAACCTTCCAGTGTGAATTGTGATCTCTCAACTTTCAGACCTACCCGTCGAGTCACCAGCAACAGGGGGGTCAAGTGAGTTTGATTAAGCCTGCAAGGATAAGAAGGTATAGAGCACAGCTTGGTAAGCCAAGAGTGCAAGGCTGGTCAGTGGGCTATAAAGCCCACCCTGTTTCTAAAGAAAGAGAGGAGAGGAGGAGAGGAAAGCAGAGGAAAGGAAGGGAGGAAAAGGAAGAGAAAGGAGCTGCAGACAGGGCTCAATGTGTGAAGTGCTTACAGATTCCCAGAATCCAGGAAAAGGCCAGATGTGTCCAATATGATAGTGCATGTATCTATTCCCATCACCCTTAGGGGGAAACAGGAGGCAGAGACAGGAGAATCCATGGAAGTGGTAGTAAACAAGAGAGCCCCTGTCTCAAACAAGGTGGAAACCAAAGACTGACATCCAAAGTTGTCCTCTGCCCTCCACACATGCACCACAGCACACGCACACAAACACTCATATATCCATCATGTGCATGTGTGTAAATGCACACACAGAGATTTTTTTAAGCTTTTCCCTTGGGGGCCCTAGGTACACCTTAAATGGAACCTCTGCAGCAGTCTGAAGCATACGTACCTGGGTAACTCTTTCTGCTTTTGCAGAGCCATTGCGGATAAGGCAGAAGACAGGCATAGAATGCATTCAGGTCTCCCCAGGAAGGTCCACATGCTAAATGGGACAGAACAGAGGGGTCAGAAATAGGGGCAGAGAAAGGAAGCAGCTAGGGGCTGAGAGAGACCTTTCCTGAAGAAGGCTGGGAAGGAAGAGGGTAGCCTATTGGGAAGGCAAAATTTGCTCCTGGACTTTGCATTAGCTGGAATCAGGGCAGCATCTTGAAGCCGAGGCTGCTGGCTGGAAGAAGAAGAATAACTCCACAGCAATCGTTGGCTACACAGCTGGGCTCCCAGGCACCATATACATTTTGGTGTGGCTCAAAATTGAGTCAAATAATGGTTTTAATACAGTGGAGTATAACCTCAGAGATGCTTCCACAGCTGCCCAGCTGCTGAAGAATGAATCCTAATGGTGTCCTCCTTAGCAGAAGAGAAATGTCTTCATGGAGGGGACCAATTCCTTGTCTCCAACTCAATTTTTTATTTGTTTGTTACTGTTGGAGATCAACCCATGGATTGCCAGAATACACCTTATCTTTTCTAGGGCCTGGGGATGCCTTTATGGTGCTCATTCTGGGGCAAACTCATCAAAACTTATGAGTCCAGGGAGCACTGAACTTATTCAGCACAGTCTGGATGCTGCTGTTCCCAGGCTGGGGGTGACACCAGCACTCACAGCTGTGTGCCTGACTCAGCAAAGTTGTCTAATTAAAATGGTTGATGTTCCACTTTGTCTTACAGTTTAAACATAATTTAATTAGTATATGCCTATTATTAAATCGATGCAGAATGTTTCCAACCTCCTTTTATTCGCGCGCGCGCGCACACACACACACACACACACACACACACACACACACACACACACCTTCTCAGCTTGTAGTAATCAGTCTTCTACATTTGGATCAACACCACCCCTACCATTAAGTATTTTTGCACAATTGCTAAGTTGCTAGCATTAGTAAAACATCTACATCTAGGCAGAGCTGGGAATGAAGTCACAGGAAAATTTAAAAACAACCGAAAATTAAACTAAACAAAGACAGTGGAGAAGAGCTGCCAGAATACAGGGCAGGTCTGGATGATAGGAAAGGATAGAGGACACTCTGGCAAGTGTTCCAGTGAGAAAAGCAGGCATAAAGCAAAACTTCCAGGGAACCTGAAGGAGATCCCCAAGCGGAGTCCTCAGCCAGTCTCACTGGAAACCCCCAGCAGAGGGGTGTAGCCAGCCTTTGGAGGCTGGGGGGTTGCAAGAATCCACAGCGCAGAGAGGCCTGCACTCCACTGAGCCTCGTACAACCCGGAGGACACGCATCTGGGGACCAATGGGCAGTTCATCAGGCCGACCCAGGCTTTGAGCCTTAGCTATTCCAGAGGCCACTGAAACCACACCATGTTTCCAGAGCCTGACAGTAACGCATCACCATGTCCAGGTTGGACCCTGTACTGCCATGGTGGCTCTGCCCGCACCGGTGGCCATAAGGCAGTACCGGGCCTCCTGTCCACCACAAGCCGTGTGCTTGGCACACACACACACACCCTCCCTTGAAGACCAGCGGTGCATCAAGGACCTCTAGGAGGAGATGCCGGTGCCTTACTGGGCTGGTCTCTTCCCGAAGCTAGTCACTGTCGGCCAGCAGCTGCAGCACCTCGAGCCCCTCTAGAACACTGAGGTCTGCAGCTTCCTGTCCCCCACGGGGGGCAGGCTGAGCCCAGGTGCCCAGACACCTGTCTGTGGTCGCCGCCCTTCTCTTAGCCTGTGGGCGGAAGACCTCGTGGGTGGAGGGACGCTCTGTTTCAAATTCGGGCCGCGCAGCTTATACTTCGTCCAGGCCCCAGAGGAAGTGAAATGCCTCTTTGTTGCAGATTTACCTGGAAAAGAGCAGCATAGCCCGTGGGCTCAATCCATCAGCAAGCTAACTTCCCACAGAGGCGGGCAGAGCTCCCATTATCCACCTCTCCTGGGTCACTTTCCAGGTCACTTCCTCGTTGCACCCTGACTGTGGCTCTTATTACACTGCCTTTGGCTTTTGTCACTAAACAGTGGGAAGTTTGACGTTGGAGGAAGCACTGAGATTAATGATTTTTCCCACAAACTTGATTTCCTTTCCTGAAGACTTACACTTAAAAAATCTCTTTTCTAGTCTTGCTTTTCAGACCACTCTCTCTACTCTTGTGCTTTTCCTGGAGTGTCAGAATAAAATCTCATTGGAAAATCTACTCAACTAATGGAGTTTTATCTTTTCTATCATTTTCTCCATTTATAACTATGATTCTTCCCTTACCCCAGGCAAGGTTTCTCTGTATAGTCCAGGTTGTCCTGGAACTCGATACGCAGACCAGGCTAGCCTCAAACTCATATAGATCTGCCTGCCTCTGTTTCCCAAGTGCTGGGATTAAAGGCTTGTACCAGCACCACCCATCTGCAACTATGATTTTAACTCATTGTTTTCTCCTAAATTGTTTCCTACTTGCCATCACCCATAGCTTTTATGTTCTGTACTTCCACTTTTACGGGTAATCTCACCTCTTTTTTGCCTAACTGAGGTGGGCAACAAATGATTCCCTGCTTTCCTGTCCCAGTCTGGAAATACACAGAAGAGGACGAACCATACAGACAAAAAGTCTGTCTCAGGGCCCTTTCAGCAGACTGTCTCCCTCTGCTGCCTGGTTTATCATCCTTGGTGATACCTCCACCCATGACAATACCTTTTTAAGTCAGGCACCTTCTCACACTGCTTCTTCTTAGAAGAACTTCCGCCTCACTCACCAGCAGCAGACAGCCTGTAGCCAAGACACTTGATCCTAACATTTCCCAGACACAGTAGTTTCCCTCATCAACTCTTCCAAACCAGTTTTCATCATTCTTTGGGTTTCCACTTTTCTCTCATTTCCTTCCTTTACAACACTCATCTTCTAATATTAAATAATCCACACTTGTGGGTTTTACACTCTAGTGCAAGAAAACATAACAGAGGAACAGCACTAAGGTTTATACTGTGTTACCAGGTAATGGGTACTTTAGGGGAACACACAACAGGAAGAGGGGGGAGAGTATCGAGAGGAAGAGGAGGGAAGGATGACGTCAGAATAAGACACCACTGTAGGCTTGAGGGGGCGAGGTGGGGGATCAGGAAGGGTCTCTCACAAGAGGGTGGCATGAGCAACTGTCTTAAGAAATAAAAAGTGAGAGGTTTTAACGCACAGAGGAAAACCACCTTGGAGAGGACTGCAAGAACAAAGGCCTGAGGTGGGAACACTTTGATGAGTAGCAGAAAGAAACTTAGGAAACCGGAAGCTGATCCATCAGAGAGGTTAATGCCTAGGCTAAATCATGTGGGACTTGGGAGGTCAACGGGAGGGCTTGAAGTCTTGCTCTGGGCTGAGAAGGCATTGGGATGTTTTGATCCAAGGAAGGACATGATCTGAGTTGTATATTAATATAAGCTAAAATACCAGGGTCAAAGTGAGAAGAAAACAATATTTTTCCAGCAATGAGGTGAGAATTCACGATGGGTTGGACCAGTGTCCCAAAGAGGTAAAGCCACAATGGATTTACTAATGGGTTGCATGTGACTGTGAAGTTAAAGGATGACTCTAAGATAGTTTTTCTTGGGAAAAGCGGGAAAATTGAATTGTCATTGATTAAATAGGAATGGCTACAGGAACTTAGTTTTTGGGTTTTTTTTTCAAATAACATTAAACTTTATTAAATAAAAAATTCATAAACACAAATGTAAGATTTACAGTTAACGGAAAAATTAAATTCAAACTTCCTATTTATTTATTTATTTATTATTTATTTTACATCTTGGCAGCAGTTTCTCCCTCCTCTCCTCCCAGTCCCCCCTCCCCAGCCCCCCTCTGTTTCCATCCCCAATCCACTCCCCCTCCGTTTCTGTTCAGGAAAGGGCAGGTCTCCCATGAGTATAAACAAAACATGGCGTATCAAGTTGCAGTAAGACTAAGCACCTCCCCACGTACTAAGGCTGAGAAAGATGACCCAGGATGAGGAGTAGAGTCCCAGTAAAAAGAGTCAGAGACAGCCCCTGTCCCCACTGCCAGGAGTCCCACAAGAGGACCAAGCTACACAACTGTAATGTACATGCAGAGTGCCGAGGTCAGTCCCATTCAGGCTTCCCTTGTTGTCAGTTCTGTCTCCGTGAGCCCCTGTGAGCCCAGGCTGGTTGACTCTGTGAGTTTTCTTGTTGTGTCCTTGACCCACTGGTTCCTACAATCTTTGCTCTCCCTCTTCTGCAGGATTCTGTGAGCTTCACCTAATGTTTGGCTGTGTGGGTCTGCAACTGTTTCCATCTGTTGCTGAATGAAGCCCCTCTGATGACAAGTGGGCTAGACACCCATCTATGAGTATAGCAGAATATCATTAGGAACCACTTCATATAAATACTGCCAGTAGTATTTGGTTCTATTCTAGGTCTCGGGGCCATCCAGCCTCTGGGTCCTGGCACTCTAGCAGTGTCAGGAGTGGGCTCACTCTCATGGTTTCAGGCTGGACCAACCATTGTGTGTTTGCCACTCCCACAAGTCTCCATGCCACCCTTACCCCAGTACATAGGCAGGACAGACTGTAGGTCAAAGGTTATGTGGCTGGGTTGGTGTCCCAATCCCTCCACTGGAAGTCTTGCATGGTCACAGGAGATGACCAGTTCAGGCTATGTATCCCCTATTGCTAGGAGTCTCAGCTGGGATCATTCTTGTAGATTTCTGGGAGTTTCCCTTGCACTAGGTTTCTACCTCACCCCAAAATGTCCCCCCTTTCCAGTCATCTCTTTCAGTACTCTCCTCAATTTCCCCCCACCTGATTCCTCATGTCCCATTCCCAACCACCCCTAGTCCACCCATGAAATCTATTCTATTTCTTCTTCCCAGAGAGATCCAAGCACCCCTGCTTGAGCCCTCCTTATTACCTGGTCTCTCTGAGTCTGTGGAATTTAGGACGGTCATCCTTTACTTTACAGCTAATATCCACTTACAAGTGAGTACATATCATGTTTGTCTTTCTGGGTCTGGGTTACCTCATTCAGGGTGATCTTT